TCCCCCAGGACATCGCTCTTCTTCTCCACCTTCACCATGCGGTGCTGGGCTCGAAGTTTGCCCCGTAGGTTGGAGTACTTGCGCAGAATCCTGGTGCTGGCCTGTGTGGGCAAGCTGGGAGCAGGCTGGATGGTTTTGTCTTCGCTCAGGTCCTCGGTGCTAGAGTCAGTGGGAGATGCCTGGCTGGGAGCAGTGGCTTCTTCAGCCTCCGCTTTATCAGCGTTCTCCCGAATTTTGGCCCAAAGTTTTTGGTTCTTCAGGTTATTCCGAGCTGGAGTAGTGGCGGCGAACTTCTTGAGGTGCTTTTTCAAACGTTCAGCTTGCAGTGAGCTGGGGTAGAGACTGGAGGAGGAATATTTCTGCATGGGGACTTTGATGGGGGGGATCTCCCCTGGGAGACGGGTGTTGAGTTTCTTCACGATCACTAGAGACCTGGTTTCAGTCGTCTCCAGAAACCACTGGCAGATGTCGGACAGCTTAAAGGCCTTCATAAACAGCATCTGGACGGGAGAAAGCTTCTGCACTTCCAGCGAGCCTCTACTTTTCCGTGTCCTTTTCTTGCTTTTCCAAATCTCTTTCAGTTTGTCGGCTTTGTTCTTTACCTTGGGGGTTGGCTGCACCTCCTTCTCCAGCTGAATCCAGCCCTTCTGAACTTTCATGTACTGGGTGTTGAACTCAGCAATGAGCTCCTGGTTCTCCTCTTCAGCACACCACTCCATGAACTTTGGTTTGCTGTCAGCTGTGTCTATGTCCTCCAATGCTGGGGAGCTGTCATTCCCTGAACTGCTTTCATCCCTCAGTTTGGGGATCGCTTGCATAGACTCCCTCCCTGCTGTGCTCTTTTTTGCAGTGTCTACAGGTGCGGGTGCGTGTCTTAAGTTATAAAACTGCAGGGCAACCTTTTTGTGCTTTGCAGCCTTTGCTGGAAGATGCTTGCTTCCACCTCTGCTGCTGGGACACAGAGGGGAATTTGCCACTGGCTCGTAGCTCTCCAGCTTGCCTGTGTCCATGGCACTGTCGGAACACTCCTCGTCCTTTGCGCTGGCATCGCCTGGTTTCACATCCACTTGCTCGGCATCATTTGCAGGCACGCTGCTCTCTGGAGGGAGGAGAATGCTTTTCTTCTCAGAATCAGCCTGGACGCTGATTTCCAGCATCTCATCTGGTTGACTTTGGCTGCTGTCAGCAGGGGGGTCGTCTTTAGAGGAATTTTCTCCCTCTGCTGCAGTCTCTTTTGCTAAGATGCTTTTATAGGTTTGTCTGGTAGTGACGCCATTCTCCTCGCCTGGCCACTGCTCAGCGATGCTCTCTGGAGCCTGGCTGGTGCCTGGCCCATCGCTGGTTTTGAGCAGCGCATCGGGGAAGCAGTCATTTGGGAAGTGGACGGATGCTGCCCCATCCAGGTGCACTTCTCTCTTGAACCGCTTAGCGCAAGGGCTCTTGGAGAGTTTGATCTGAAGGCAAGGAAGCTGCACAGAGCTGGAAGAACCAACATCCTCAGCACTGCCCTCGGCAGGTGACTGGGATTGCTGGCTTCGGAGACGGCGGTCCGATGCCACAAGCACTCTCCTTCCTTTCTTTCGCTTCTTGTCTGGACTGTCTTTGGAAGAGACAGAGTCTTTCCCTGCAGTGTCTGAGCCATCGTGTTCAGGCAGTGTTTCCTCTTCCATAGAATCTTTTTCACCTGCTGGGCTGCCATTCTGCACTGCCTCCCCTTCCAAGATTTTGGGGAGGGCTACGCTGGCCGCCGCAGGCTCCTCTTGCTCAAGGGAGCCATCGCTCACCATGCCCGATAATTCGGCTTCTGGTTCAGCATCGATGCTTTTGTTCACATCCATGCACTGCAAGGTAGTAGGGGGCTCCAGGGGGCTCTCCCTGTCCACAGTGGCAAGGGGCTCATCAGGAGCCTGCCAGCCTGGAGAGCATGGGGAGGGCTCTGCCGGACACAGACTGTAGGGCTCTGCATCCCCTGCACCTGGAAGCTGGGAAGGATCCCTGGCACCGTCATGGTCCAGGGGTGCTGTGTCCGCAGCGGTGGAGGGCTGCAAGGGGGACTTTGGCTCCGGGCTGGTGGGGAGGTCCAGATCAGTTTGTAGTTCAGAGCCTGGGCAACCTCCCTCCCCGCTGGGTGCTTCTGAGACGGGAAGGGCAGCAACATCGGCAGCCTGCCCA